AGAGGGTAAAATATCCTCCAGAGGATTTCGAACCCTCTAGAGGATTATTTTTCCTCAGATGAATATGGGCGGGTAGCCATTTGTCTACCTGTGCACTGCTGTACCTGAAGCGGCGTAATTCGATGGGCACGCGCCAACGCGCCAACTGGCACACACCTCGTGCGACCTGCACATTCTCTTCTCTTTCCGCTCGTGTTCGCGAGAGAGGAGAGAGTGAAGAGCGCCCGAAGCAAGCAGCGACCTCAGCAGCAGCAGCAGCAGCTGCGACAGCCTCACCGGGAAGCTGACACACGGCCGCCGGGTTCCGCGCAAGGTAAGCGGAGGACGTGTGGGTGTGATTGTTGTGTTTTTTTGAGAATTTTGCATTTGAGAGGCCCTTTCCAAATGAGCGTGTGATGTCCACCTCACGCGATGCGTGGCGGCCAAGGGCACCCGGACTCACGCACACGCTTTGACACCAGTAGCCTGTTGTACAAGTGTCTTGTCGGGTGGGTTGGGGGGGGGGCTCGGGTTGCCCTCCCCCGCCTTCTCTCTCTCGTTGCGGAGGGTGACAGCGAGGCAGCTGTCCTTTTTTTATTCTTACTTCTTCCCTCCCACCTTGTGTCAATGTTGTGCTGCACTTCAAGCTGAGCGCCTGAGGCCCACCGATGTGCTCCTGTACCCTCCGGCCCAAAGCACTCGGTGGGGGAGCTAGCTCCTGTCTCTTGTCAACTCGGAACACAACTTGGTGGTCCACAGCAGGAGTGTTCATAGAGCTCGTGCGAAAAATCACTAGAAGCACGAGAAAAAACGGCCTCATTATCTCGGAACGTGGAGATGACACCTCAGGCAGGTGGTGCTCCTGCCGAAGGTTGATCTCCCTCGCGGGAAGCGCCTCTAGCTGCGAAGGGGGCATAGTTACCAGGATTTACCTGGCTGTTGCGGCCGCGCCCTCCTTCTCCGTGAGGCGGCTTGCGAATCGAATGCACACCCTTTTTTTCCTACGAATGCGCGCCTGACGTATGTGCGTGCCGCATCCGCAAAACGAAAATCCTGTTCTTCTCACCCCCGCGCTCGCAGAGATGCCATCCCCCGCAGTGGGGGCCTCTTCTTTCCCGGTGGAAGCATCAACGATCCAGTCCTCTGCGGGGCGGGCGACACGACGAACAAGCTTTCCCGGGAAGACGCAGGGCCCCGAGCTTCCCCCTATCGATGAGGAATCGGACAACAATAGAGTCGGTCCAAACGCTGACGGATTTAACTTCACCCTAGAAGCATTAATCGAAAAGGTGCCGGAGGGTCTTTGGCAGGCGAACGGCGTCATCCCGCGGCACCGGAGAAAGGCGCATCTGTACTGGGGACTGCTTCTGCTCGGATACGCCGCCTACATCGCCTACGTGAGTGACAACAGCATGCCCAGTTTACTAGCAATGCACGCACGTTTGATTCATTCCCCCCCGGGTAAACGAGAGCCGGGCAAATGACAGTTCCCCCTCCATCACCCCTTCGGCAAAAACTGCCATTTTTTCATCTCTCCCCTGGCTTGATTTCTTGCCCGGGCTTGGCTTGGAGAGCATTTTTCCCGGTAGACTTTCCTGGTTTTCTGAGCTGAGCGGCTGAGAAATATGGTATACCAACGTAGGAGAAGGGCCAAGAGCAAGGAAACAGCCCTTTCATCTTCCGTGTGGAATATGCACTCGATCCTACAGTAGAAAAAAATCGAAACTACGGTAAATTCAGCACGTAGAGCCTACGATTACGAATAGCGGCGGTGCTGATTTGGTTCTCCACAGTGTTTCTCCAATCGTTTTCATCCCTTTCCTGACATGCAACCGAACTATCGTACTATCGATGACGTCTTGTATTCATTTTTTTAGGCGATCCGCGATGGGTTCGAGCGCCGGAAAAGCCCCCCTGTGCAGCTCACGCGAATAAACGAAGCGTTCCAGGTCCGAAGATTGGCGTTTAGTTGATGGTGTTCATATTATTGCAGTTCATACGTGTACGCTATTCACGTTCCACATTTTCCGTGGATGAGCTTGGCTGCGGCGGTGGACAACGACTGGTGCGCATTTATATAAACAGCCGCCTAGCATCCTGAAGTCTTGATGCTGTGATGCTGACTGACTGGCGACTCGGTCGTTTCCGTGGACTTCATCAATCTCTATGCCGAAAATACGCAACTCTACCAAACGTCCTAAAACATGCTGGCGGTTGACAGTTGAGCGTAGAGTAGATCGACGCATGCGGAGATAGCATTTCTCATCATGATTCGTGACACGAATGCATCGGATGTACACGTGTCACCTATCGTGGTGACGCAATGGCATCAATGCTTGTGTGTCAGGATGCACTGTTGTTGTCTTTCCGCGCCTTGTTGCTCTCTCCGGCGGAACACAAACTAACTTAGTCTAAATATTATGAGTACTGGTAGTCTACGGTACTGCTTGCATGTTCTTCTACACATGAGGAAACAATCCTACTACCAGATAAAAGAACCCATGTATAGTTCTTTGATGTCGATGTTTTTGTTGGTCTCGCACGTGTTGGCTCGTTTGAACCAGACTCAAGGGAAACCCTCGGGGCCCGTGTTTGTATCCATGGTGACGAATGGCAAAAAAGTACAATTTTCAAGTCAACGACACCGGAAAAATTACGATGAGCGAGTGTCCTCTCGAGCTCTCCTCGGGGATGACAGCTTTGTAGGAACTCTTGGTGTCCACGGGTGACAACTTTCACCGCCATCAGTCTATCCCGCTACTGCTGCTCATTTTGCCATCCCCGTATTCGCAGCTGCCCGATGTCGGGTTCTGCTTCGAGGGCGACACATACGGGTCTCGATTTGGTTGTTTCGACGCAGATGCTAACGGGGAGGACTGCGCGGACAGCTACATTGCCGACGCCTTCGTCTACGGGTAATTCATTCGGCCCGTATGCAACAGCAGCAACCTCCCAAAAATCGTTACCTGTGTCATTGCAACACTTGTACTGTACACGTTTTTAGGGTCGTTCATTCAGTGTTTGGCGTCGAATGGCTGCATGCGGTCATGTTCCCGTTTTACCTTGGAGAAAAGGAGGTATCCCAATCTTCGGTTGCCCGCAGACGTGTTTTCTGCGTCGTGCTCTATCAGGTGTAATTTTTTCCCTGTCCTCACACACATGGCCTCTCCCTCTCCTCTAAAAAGCAACCCCAAGTATCCCATTCCTCCGGTGAACAGAACTGCACACAGTAGTCGCAGATGCCCGAGTCCGTAACTTCGACGATTAAATTTTCTTCGGCATCGCCTAACGCTAACGTCCCGTTGTGCCCTTTCTCATACGACATGGTACTCTCCCCGCACGAACTACACGTTTAAGTTGGATTGCAGCTCGAAGGGTCCCAAAAACAAAACCGCGTTTGTTGTGTAGACTACACCTCAAATATCCCTGCATTTGTATTGATCTGTGTACAAAGTCTACAACTCACAAATAAATTGACACCCATTATTCTCTATTTTCGGAGGCACGCACTGTATTATGCCTTTTGCTAATGTTCGGTATGTTTCTGCCGTACATCGACACAAGCAAGTATTGCTGAATGAATGCGGATCACCTTCTTCCTGGTTCGACTATTTCTGCCGAAACTAGGTATAATCGAACGGGGTACACCACTCCCGACGGCTACGACCCTTCCGAAGACTACATCGTCTTGCTGCCTGACAGCTTGTCCACGACGTGCAGGAGATTTAGGCTGTCCACTCTAAGCGCCAACGCGGATTCCAACTCATGGCACTTCCACATGCTCATGTTCTGGAACAGCAAGGTACAACCAGTCATGGGCTCCCCCCTTAGTTTAGTACACGTACATCGCCCGCTGCAGTCGACGTGTTCTATGAAATGTTTCCGATGTGTGCACAGAAATCCAAGCAATATCCACCAAAAAAACACATTAAGACTGCACGACGTGTATGGTCGGTGCTTTTGGGCCAGAGAATGCGGGATCTTCTTCTACGTCAGTATTTGGGGATCAGGCTTGAATCATTTCGGCACTTCACCTACTGCACCCCCTGCATGCAGCTTTCGGCATGGAATCGTGCTTGAGGTGTGTTCGTTCCGAAGGAGTTGCACGATCCAGCTAGCTCACCGCATGGTAGAGCTCCCTCTGCATCAACTCTATGTAGCTCGGCGCGAATCTCTACAGTAGACTACAGTGCGTTCTGCATATGAATGCATTTTTTTATTGTAGCGTCTCTCAGTTTCGAAGCTTGACACTTCGCTGCACACGCATGAGTTTTTCCCTGTTTAATTACAACGGTTGTTATGGCAAGCAAAGGTTCCCTCAAAAAGTTTCTTTTTTCGGCAACTTTTGGCGGGGAACTTTTGTCGAGAAAACTTTTATTGCACGCTCCATATG